GTTATCGCCGGTTACACTAAATAGAATGCTGTAGTTTGGTTATGAAATGTTCATACAGGTTTGAATAGCGTAAGCCATCAGAACTCAAATATGAAATAACAGAAGCCAAATTTTTAAAAAGGGGTTTGCGAGCGCTAATCAAATTATGATATTCGATACGTTGTTGTTGACGTCTTTCGTCACGAGATAATAAAAATTGTCAAATTTTGGCCTTTTGAAATGTTTAAGGTATTAATCGGTGTGGTCTTAAAGCTCTGTCCACTATATTTTCTACTATATTTTCTACTTCTAAGATTTATTGAGCTACTCACATAAAACGGTCGGAGTTTGCTCAATGAACTAATTTGCATAATCGGCTGTCACGCTTGCAATATCGCTAAAAGTTCGAAGTCACCTCGGCGAAGAAAATCAATAAGTGCAAGATGTTTTTATATTTTTCTGCAGCCAAACATCTTATTAGCAGAAATCAAGCGGATTTTTTAATGGTCTGGTCTGGACTTGAGCAATATCAATCGAGAAAGAAAGAGTACTTTTAACCAATTTCAGAGAGCTGTCGAACGAGTGTTTTTAAATAAATTATGACGAGCCTCTGAATAAACGAATATCAAAATTGAAATGCATTTTATACACCTTATATATCACACACTTTAAGAATACAAAATATTTTTTGCTGCATGCGGTGTGATACGAGGACCGGGCTATTCAACTCTTGAAATTTTCGATGTCGCAAGAGGTCAAAAAAGGGCCTTTTGCAGCTTTGACTTTTGAGAGCTCTAAAAATTTTATTTTGAGGTATTTCCAAAAACTAATGTGGTTTTATTTACTTGTTACCAAAGATAGTTTATTGGGTAAAGTTTGAGGGAAAACTTTTTTCCGATGCGAAATGCCCTGGACCGCTCTTACAGAGATCGCCTCTTAAATATCAATGCGAGTGAAAACACCGGGCTGATCTCCGGTGTAATAGCCACAGCTGACGTCATGAGTCGCTTACCATCGGACTTCGCATAAATATAATATTGATAAAACGGTAATTGTGTAGTTCTCGGTAGTTCTCTGGTTCTCGTGGTTCCCTTAGTTTTCTTGGTTCTCGTGGTTCTCTTGGTTCTTCTGGTTCTCGTGGTTCTCGTGGTTCTTCTGGTTCTCGTGGTAAACGTGGTTCTCGTGGTTCTTCTGGTTCTCGTGGTTCTCGTGGTTCTCGTGGTTCTCGTGGTTCTCGTGGTTCTCGTGGTTCTCGTGGTTCTCTTGGTTTTCTTGGTTCTCGTGGTTCTTCCCCCCCCCCCCCCCCCAAGCTCTTAGCCTTTGGATGTCTGAGCCAGCAGTATGGTCAGTGGCTGTAAACATTTTAATCATTTTCCCGCGCTTTCTTGACCTCCTGTTGACCTCTTTCTTCGACAATTATGGATGGCGAGAGCGAGCTTCGCACTATTTACGATTTAGAAGCTAAATTGGCGGATGTATCCCTGCCATTCGAAGAGATTGTTCCAGCAGCAGTGAAAGACTGGCTAAATGTGCTCGCACGTAGCCATGGAACAACGCGGGAGATGCTTCTGTTGAGCGCATTGACCTCAACTAGCGCGCTGATTGGAAAGAGCTCAGTACAGGTCTTCTCCACGTACGAAGAAGGGGGGAATCTTTTCGTTGTTGTGGTCTCCCCTTCAGGTTCTGGGAAGACACCTGCGTGCCATTTAGGATGCATAGATCCTATCGTGGAACATATCGAGCCCAAAATAGAAAAAAGCATCGTTATCGATGACGCGTCGAGTAATGGCCTGTTCAATCACTTCACTACGGGCAATACCAACCCTATCATCTGCATCGACGAGGCCCACTCATTTCTAACGAAGATTACGAGTTTATCGAAAGGTCCTCAAGCGAATCTGACCATGGAACGACTATGCAAGTGTTACGACGGCGATTGCTGGTACGTGCTGAAGGGCAACAAGGGTAAACGTACAGGGGTCCCGTCGGCACGAGTCTCGCTCCTTGCGTTCACTACCCCAAAGCAGTTCCTCGAAACGGTTTGGCCGAAGATGTTGTCTGCCGAAAATGGCCTAGCTGAGCGAATGCTCCTTTTCTACCAGAAAAAGGAGGAGAAAGACCTGGAGGTAATGGCCCAGCATTGCGAAGAGCTGGATAATTATCCTATCCAGTCTCTTCATGTAGTGCTTGAGCAAATTTATGTAGAACATAATAGTGTTCCACCGGTGAAGTACTCCCTGAGTGCAAGTGCCCGTGAGGCTTTTTTCAAATTCGCTAAGCCTCAAGATAAGTTGCCAAGCACACAAGGGGCCAGCGTGGAAGAGGAAGCCAACTGCAACAATTCTAAGCGAAACAAACACGTACTCCGCCTTGCTCTCAGCATGCATGTACTATATGATCGCCTGAGCAAGGCCATAAATTTGGAGACAGGGGTAACAAGTCATAAAATTGCCTTGAGAACACTAAACATGGCAATAACTCTTGTCCAAAGCCTCGAGATTTACAAGGGAATTTCGCACACGGTGAGTAATGAAGTATCGCACGTGTACTTGTATGACTAGTTTCTTAGCTTGCTCTTATCGGTTATAAAGCTTTGTTTTCTTTCCAGTAGCTTTCATACCGAAAAAAGTCTTCTGGGAAGGAGGGGAAGCAACATCTCTACAATCACACACTCATTTTTTGGGGTGTCAATTTTGGCATTTGAAAGGACCAGGTTTACAACTGTGACAACATCAATAACAGCAAGTGCAATACTGTTCTTACAATTTAAGAATAAGAACAAAAACTTCTCCCGTGCTAATATTTATCAAACTCTTGGTCATGGAACAAGGAAGCCAACATTCATGCCCCAACTCAACCAGAATCACTTTATTTTTGTAGAAATTTTTATGTGTGCCCATTCTCCCAAGGTGTCAGGACTTAAAAAGAAATTCAATTTCAAACCTTCCTGAGTTCCCTTGTGCATTTACATGTATGAATTAAGAAAGGAAAGGTATTTGCCATTTACCAGACCATGAAAATATAAAATCCAACTCAAAGTAAAATAATTTTAACTTATAGTGTTTTAAATTTACCTTTATCATAGGCCAGCAAATTTAATGGCTCTGCTAAGGTAATAAAAGTGGGTGTGGCAAATGAGGATGTTACCCTTAGAATCTTAACAATGAAAGGGCCATACACAACTGGCCGCCGCGTCTACACAAGCTTTTCCTCGCACTGCCGTCCAAATGTCAGTCTGGTCCAAAAGTCCATGCAAGATCTGGCCGCTGCTGGTCTTGGCATATTTAAAGTCATTAACAAACTGAAAATTTTTTATAAAATGCTGCCCAATGATAACCTTCAGCAGAAGGTGGCCAAATATAACATCTCTGTGCAAGACTACAGATCAACCTTCCTGAAGGATGATGACAAGCTTACTGCAAGCAATATCTTCACAATGTCAGAGGGTCATCCATTTAAAGCTGAACTCAATGCCTTTAGAGAGAGAGCAACATTGCCACCACTGCTTTAGTTGAAAAGAATGTTAAAATAATATTGTTACAAGAAATTATTATGAAAACTGTAATAGAGATTTAATAGGGTCCTTTCGATATCATTGGACGCGCCTTCCTGAGAACTAGAAATGAACATGCAAACGAGGCTTAGAGGACCGCGGGCGGGGAAAATTAAAAACAGAAACCGGTGCACTGTATGTAATGTGTAAGTTACCATTATTTTTCCAAAGTTATGGTGAATTTTTGTTCTGTAGCGAACTGCTTGAACAGTTCTAGGAATCGTCCGGATCTTTTCTTTTTCTGCTTCCCTTCCGAACAGAATTCTAGAAGGCTTTGGAAGAACTTTTGTCGACGAAATGATCCCGAATTCCAAGGTCAAAAAAACCCTCGGATTTGCAGTGCACATTTCGAGGCTTCCTCCATCAAAAATTCCCTTGGCGGGAGAAGAGAAATTATTCCAGGTGAATTGCCGAAGTATTTTAATCCCTCAACAAACGAGGGTCTTGTTTCTTCTCGTGAAAAAAGACTGGATGATAGGAAGAAACGAACATCTCATGAGCAATGTCCTAAACCTAAAAAGAGTAGGACGGTTACAAAGGAAGGCAAAGATACCTGGGTCGCAACAAGCAACGAGGCAGTTCTTTTGGATCACAATTATTGTCAGCGTCTTCTAAACAATGACAAGGGAACTCAAACAGACTTTCCTTTTGAAGATTTACAGGTTTTAAACAGTGAAATTAATACTTTGAAGGAGGAAAACGCAAATCTTAAGGCAAAGTTGACAAACAGCAAGCAGCTGAAAAGAGAGCTATTTGTGGATGATGTTTTAAAAGATGACGAGTCAGTCAAATTTTACACAGGGATACCTAGCCTAGCTTGCTTAACAATGATATTTAATTTGTTAAAGCCCTTTGGAGAAAAACTTAAGTACTGGGACAAAAACAAAGAGAACGAAGTTACGTATCAAAAAGATTCAAGCAAAAAAAAGCCTGGAAAGCAAAGATTATTGACCATTATGGAAGAGTTCATCTTAACTTTGGTGAGACTCAGACTTGGGCTTTAAAGCAGACATCTTTCAGATATATTTGGAGTATCAGAGGGAACAGTTAGCAAAGTCTTTACAACTTGGGTTTGTTTTCTGTCTACAGTTTTTCGTGACATTCTCCTTAAATGGCCTTGTAAGGAAGACATTAAGAAAACTTTACCACGGTCTTTTTGTAAGTTTCCTAGCACAAGAATAATAATAGACTGTACCGAGATATTTTTACAAAAGCCAACATCCCCTAGTGCCCAGAGGGCCACCTGGAGTAACTATAAGCAGCACAACACAATGAAAGCACTAGTGGGAATCTCACCTACAGGTTATTTCACCTTTGTTTCTAAACTATGGACTGGAAATGTCAGCGATAGATATATTACTGAAAAAAGTGGTCTATTGGACAAACTTGAAGAGGGGGATTGTGTTATGGCAGACAAAGGCTTCAACATCAGGGATCTGCTTACAAGAAAGAAAGTAGCACTTAATATCCCACCACTTTGCAAACGTAACTCACCCTTTAAAGTTTAGTGGTTTAGTTAGATAAAGGGAGTTTCAAAGGGAAGGAATGAGAGAAGGTATGGAAAAAGCAAACAGATGGTCTCCTTAGGCTGGTAAAAAATCTGATATAGCAACATACCTATATCTAATTGGTAGTAAAAATGAAGTTAAAGTTACTTAACAGGTACAAATTCTTATCAGTATTTTTATTAATGGTTAAGGCAAGCTGCTCATCAGGGAGATACATGTAACCATTACTTTAACTCAATCTCACAAATATGTTTATAAAGGCTGCAGTTCCCATCATATGTGATCTCTTTTCTAGGTGCTTTGATATTTAACATAAACAGCTTTGACTGAAAACAGCAAGTACTTCTCTATCAGTAGCTTCTCAAGTTGGCATTTACTTAATTTGAAATCTCTTTTTTTACTCAGAAAAGCAACTGTCTAAGAAGACAGTAAAATCTACCCGTGCCATTGCCAGTGTTCGGATCCATGTAGAACGTGCCATTGGACGACTTAAGGACTTTAGAATTCTACAAGGGAACTTTCTTGTTCCAATGCTGCCCATTGCTGACAACATTTTTAGTGTGTGTGCTGCTCTGTGCAATTTGCTACCACCCCTGGCTAAATAACTACTGCTGCCTTGTGAGCTGAGAAGCACAATAAGTTTGTAACTTTGAACAATTACCAGTCAGTTTATGTTAATGGTTAATAACACATATCAAAAATCTTCTTTAGACCCACTGAGGAATTACCCAGCATTGAGCATCAGCATTCACCACCAATGATAGTCCCTTATAATGATTTAAGTATGTCATGGTGAAAGAGTTCCTGAACTATGTACTTTAAGAAAAAGTTTCTCAGCTTCTCAAGCATTTCGTTCCACAACTCACTGTCAAACTTGACATTGACAATCAATATTCCTTTGAAGGTATAAATAACTAGATCACAGCAATGAATCCCTGTTATTCCCATCAGACCCTGAATTTGATAGTTCCATTTTGTTTCTTTTTTTAGTATATATTTGTCACCAACAAACATGAGCTTCTCCTCAGCTGCAACCTGTGGAGGGAGATTTCTTTTTCCATACATGCTCTTAATTTCAATTAACTTCTTCTGACAGCACTCACAAATCCTGACACCATCAAAACTGGCTCCCAAGAAAGGCCAGTGTGTTTACTATTAGTCCACTGTTTTTTATTGACAACTTCTCATGGTTTCTCTTTTGTTTTTTAATGTAGAGATCAAGTGCTTTCTTTTCCTTTTCATGACCCCATGTTAACTGTTTTGGCATTGCATCTTCAGCAATTGGACAGTAATTCATAAGATGCTTCACAGTGTTTCTCTTGTCTGTGCTCTCTCTGAGGTGGCACATGGTGTAAAATGAGGAAGCTGTAATTCTTCCTGCCCTTTGATCAAACCAAAATTGGGACTGGGATTGATTGACAGTCTTTTTGTTGATCATTTCTGCTTGCTCTTCATTAAATGAAATAGACTCAAGGAACTCAGTTGCAAGTTCTGTAGAGACTGTAGGTGTCACTTTTTCAATATTAACAGAAACAAACACTTTAGCGTAATCACTCATTGAATAAACATCAACACTTTGAACACTTTCTTGTTTACTGACATTTAAATCATCACTTATCAAAGCCCTGATTTCTTCCTCTGTTTGCCCTGGTTCTTCAGCTGAATGTAAGAAAGGGAGAGCTGAAGAACCTGGGAATGTTTCCAGCAACCCAGCTTTGAACTGTTGTTCTAATTCAGCTGGGTCATAAGGAATACAAAGTGGATTAAAATCTCTTGGCTTTGCAGAGTCTTTTACTGTCACACCATAGCCACCACTATTTGTTTGTAGCTCCTGAATAGGCAAACTTCCCTCATTTCTCTTTCCTTTCTTTTTCCACATGCATTGTCTTGATGTACATGACTGAAGATCATTGAATCGTACGCTTGCTTCCAGATCAAACAGTGCTGCAGCTATGTGGCGACAACCTCCATCTGCCCTATCAAATAGAGACCAAGATGACTGATATTTATTAAACATTGTCCTCACACAAATAAAATGATCAAAAAAGCAAGTGATTTTTAGTCATCTGCTTGTTTTTTCTGTATATTATTATATACATTATATATATTATATATATTATTATATATTATAGCAGAGTGAAACATTTGGTACACTGAAATGAAGCCAATAGCTTAATTTTTTTTCTTTGAAAGTTAGTAGTGATATATTATCACACAAGTTTCATTTTTTATTTATTCATTTAGTTAGCTGGGTTTTTTTTAATAAATGTATTTCATATATAGCATATCTGTATGTTGGTCACATTAACATTAAAAATAGTCCAACAATTCATCAGCTGATCATAACAGGTAAACATACATCTCTCATTTTAGACTTTTAGCTCGTATATATTTCAAATGACTCTGGCTCATTGTACATCTTAAGGCTAATTACCTTATAGTAAGAGTAAATGAAAATACATACCCTCCTTTGCATGGGCAGTAGGCTGAATGCACACTTCCATCCTTCTTTAAAATAAAAAAACCCTTATATGTTGCTGACCCATCGTCAGCCTTGGACCTTTCAGTTGGCTTTACAGCAAACAGAAAATAACTGTAACTGCTGGCACTAGATTGTGGCGGATGATAACAAAGGTCTTCTACGTGTCCATCGAAGTACAACTTGTATCCCAGAAGAGATTTGTAACTTTTTAGGCTTTCGGCGGTATACCCGGGATCCTTTCCCACTAGATAATTAAAAAGATCAGGAAATCTAAAGTCTGGTACTTCCGAAAAATTGTGGGTCCATTTACCAAAAGCCTGATTTTCTTTGTTCAACGGATTGGCCAAGTACCCTTCATTGTTAGTTTTCAGTTGCTCTTTCATTGAAATTGCTGGATCGACTGGCTCTCCTTCTTCTGAGATTTTCGGGACTTTTATCTCCTCACTTTTTACACAAAGTTCTACTAGTTCATTCTTGCGCTTTCCCGAGCTTTGAATGCCTCTTTGTTTTAAAGATTCTTTTAACCAAGGAACTGGTTTAGTGCTGAAGATGCCCGCACCAGAGCTGGCATCCATTTTGTCCTCTAAGCCTCGTTCACATGTTGGTTTCTAGTTCTCAGGAACACGCGTCCGAGAATGTCGAAAGGACCCTATTGAGAGAAATTGATAATACATGTAGCTTTCAATAGATATTTATTTAAGGGAAATTGAGAATACTGTTAAATAGACATTTATTTAAGAGAAATTATGAAAGACATTGTGTAGGTCCAGAAAATATCCATACTACCCCCCACAGAAGGGATTGGAAATTCCTGGACAGGAGGGTGGGGTCTCAGAGACCCAAAAATTTAAAGCAATGTATGAAGCTGAATTGGAATTTCCAGGGGGTTGGTGGGGTTATAGGGAAGATGCCTTTCACGCTGGGGATATTGATATTTTCTGGAACTATACATTCACTTGAGAGAAATTATGAATACCTGTAAATTGAGACATTTAATTGAAAGAAATTATGAACTACCTTTGGATAGAAACTGAGAAATTATAAAAACCTAAAAATAGAGACATTTTAGAGAAAGAAAAGAGAAATTTATGTAAAAGAAAATAGTTTAATATCAAACGAAAACAATGTTTGTTATAAAATGTTACAGTTTTAAAATATGCTTGAATAATACAATGCAGATACCTGACACTTAACATGTTATTCATTACAGATTATTTCTTGCTACCAACACATTCTTCTAGCAGGTATGGCCATTTGAAATCCCATTTCTACAGTTCTGGTTGTCAAGTTGAATCTTTGCTAAAACTGCAACAGGCATAATTGATAGAGATGTTTTTATTTAAGTTACAGTTAAAATGCTATATGTATTATGCATTATGCAACCAAACAATGAAACAATACCCTTGATTCAAACTATGGACATGTTTGAATTGAGTGATTTCATAAGGAAAAAAAAAATATGAAAGTTTAATTCAATTTTTAGAATGTTATACAAAAGTGATTCATTGCTGTCACAATGTGCCTGCATGCCCATTAACAGGACAATCATTTCAATTACATTTAAATTTTTGTTGCATGGAAAATATAACATATTGATACATTATGCATTGTCATACTTAAATTTGATAAGAAAATAAACAACTATAATGTATACCACATTATGTCAACAAACATTTATGCCTGCTGATTGACTTTGACCATGTCAAAAATCCCAAACAGTTCTGAAATTTGAATTGATTGCCAAAAATTGAAATAGAGACCGAAAGTTGAATTTAAAAATGTTATTGTGCATCATGTGTACTACGGAACCTCCACTTTGGAACATCTATTCATGGCACACCTTGACAAGGAGATGCTTTTCCTGGTCCTGGTAAATGCTCAGATAAACTTTGTATTTACCACCACTATTACAAGGGCACCTCTATAAGGAGATTGGGACACTTTGAGTGCTGCAAATGCTTTTCAACCCCCATTAAGGGGACAACTACTAAGCTGCTAATGATTACAATGCCACCAAAGACACTGAGTTGTTCCAGTTTCTGCATGCCTTTCAAAATAAATATGAACACACTTTGTATTTTTACTGTACATTAATTCTGCACTTATTGACAGGTTATTGCAGTAGTAATCTACTGGTAGCAAGTCAAATTACAATTTAAAAAAAGTCCAAGGTTCCTATCGAAAGTGTATGTCATGCATTTTTGGTTGCTTTAATAGATGGCTGCTTCAAAGGGAATAAAACTGGCATTTTTGTTAAGGTGGTTAATTATAAACAAAACCCCACATACCCTCTATTCAAGGAACACAGGTATATTAATGGGACACTTCATAGTCCTGGGGATGCCCTCTTAATGGAGGTTCCACCCTATCATTGACAAATCATCAGGTGATTTTCTTGTGCAATCTGGAGAAAATAAACACTCATAAAATTTTCAAAAATATCCCTGCGGGCTTGTGTTACTTTGTGCTTGTTTATTAAAAATTACCTATATAAACAATTACACAAATCTTTACTCTTGTAAGGAAGCAAGACACTTTTAGTCCACACAACCAAAGGATGCAATTTAGTATCACTTGCTTCTTAAAAAAATCATACCACACAAGGTGTCCATAATTATATCTATCTCCTGCACTTTAAAGATGCAAGATTCCTTAACAAAACATTCTTGTTGAACCATGAAAATTTTAGTCTACTAAACTATAAGAACCAACTAAGCCTAAAATTTAGTCCCAAATCCCACAGGCCCATCCCCATATCTGATGAAAAATGAACAGACCACGTAGAGTTGACAAAAATAAGTAACTCAATGGTTTGTTTGTTGTGTCAGAGGCTCAAGGTAAATATTGATCTACAAAGAAAAACTATTAGGTATGTGTTCATCTTCTGATGACATTGAAAACAGTAACGAGAACTTAATTTAAGGGGATGTCAAGCTGACCTTTCTTGTACATGTATGCATGAACAGGGTTCTAGTAACTATGCACTACTAAAAATGATTTACAGAAAGCAAAACCCTTAATTTTGGCTATGCAAACGAGGAAAGACCAAATGTACATACCAGTCCCATGTAAACATTAGATATTGCCGTCTGAATCAAACTAGTGTCCAGAGTTGTACTGGTCATTATCTAATAACCACCTTAAGATACAAACAGCTGACTCTTTGAGTGACTGTTAGCCCCTTGCTTGCATGCTAAAAATTTCAGCTGCCTGTTGCAGTACTTA